TTATTAGTAATAGTTACATGCTAGAATTTTAGCGAATATATTCGTATTACAATTTACAAAGTAACACTATAAAAGTCACATGGCCATTAGTAGTTGTCTCAATATGGCATTGTTTGTAACTCATCACAGTGTTTCATTCGTTACCAATTATAGGCAACAATTTTATTATTCAAACACCAAGAACTGAAGGCCACAATTTATTTACAATTGGTCAAAGTATCTATAAATTAAAGTCTCATGTACGAAATTCTTGGTCATTTGTCATCTTTGATTATGCGAACATTGTTCACTTTAAGCGTTCGGTTTGGTCCATGTTATAGTGGAGATAATGCATTTTTTTTTCCTTTACAACACTAGGCGTGTTTTAGCTTTTAAAAATATAAAACTTTCACTTATTGTTGAATTTCGCTTAAAAGAATATTTCTAGCTTTCATGTTGTAAATTCTTGGATGACCTACCTTGTTATATCAAAAAATGAGCAAAGAAAACATCAAAAAGTCCACACGTCAACGAAACATTTAAAATATCAATACTGTTTTATTATTCAAAGTCTATGTTGCGCTATTTTTACGAAACTGTCTTTTTCTTTACAAGGGACGATGTAGGACGGGTTTGGGGTAGGGGTTGGGGTGGCCGACTCTAGTGGTGTGGGAAGGGTTGTTTTAAGTGGGATGGGGATGGGCGAGGGTGGTGATTTAGGGAAGGAATTAAGTTCCACTCTAATTCTATCCTTTTTTCGTTTTATTTGAATTTAATTGTAAAATTATTCACTAAAGTAACCATCATTTTCGATGGAAATCGACAGGAATGGCTATTTTTGCTTATAGAGGAAATCTTGAAGAGCTTAATATCAATGAAAAACATAAAACTCCATTATAAGGTACACATTGGGGACAATTTGATCAATTTATATGATATTTTTGTAATTGTAATTGTAATGCTCAACGTAAAATCCAAGTCATGAGCCAGTATGCTTTATGCCCGTTTGGTAGAACAAGCTCTTGTTTGACACACATTTTTTCAAAACCCAAGTCATGCTTTATACTGACTGTTATGTTACTTTTGGTGTGTTTTTATAATGATTGTTCTGTTATTCTAATTCCAGGCCAGAAACATTGTAATTTAGTTTTAAAACTCTTACTCTCAATATTTAGCTCTTATTCTACCTCTAATTTGATTAGTTACAAACGAGGCATTTTTAATCGTTTAAACATTTCTAACTCTTATATTGAAACTCAAATCACAAACCACTCTTGTGTAAGAGAGACCCAATCTTCGCGGTAAGTCAAACTAATTGTATATGTGCTGTAGATCAAGAATTTACCTTAAAAGAATAAGATTTGCTAATTCTTTTTCATAAAATACCATTACAGCCTGACTTTGAGAATAAGTTTGCCAGAAATTTAAGAGTAAAATGGAAAATAATAAAAAAAAAAGTATGATGCGGGATAGGGTGGAAAATAAAGTTTTACAGGTTTGAGGTTGTGGGTGGTACATTAAAAAAAAAAAAAAATTAGGTATAATTTGTAAAAAAATAAAAAATTTGGATACTAAAATTACAATTATTACTTTTTAATTCTGACATTTTTACTGTTTTTAACAACAAATTTGACGATGAGGGAGTTTTCATACAAAATGTTCCAAATATGAGGATTTTCTGCGATTTTCAATAAGTAAAGAAGTTTATCGCAAATTGAAACATTTTCAGAGAGGTTTTCTGGTATTAATCCATTTTAAAATGAATCATATTAATTTGATAGTTTGTGGTTTAGTTTATTTTAATGATTATAATAGTATATCACCATTTAATTTAATTAAAATATATAAAAAATAATTTAAATTATCGTATTATATATGTAACTTCTTTTTTTACAATTGCACTATATATATAAGAATCGTATAGCATATAATTACGACTCATATGAATCTTTTCCTCTTGGTTAGAACGAATTTGACCCTCCAACCATGTAAATAGGAAGATAATAATTATTTTTTTCTTAATATAAATTAAGCGTGAAGGATTCCCACTCTTTATATCGTGATAAAATTAAAAAGAGATAAAAGGTTTAAACTATCATAATTTTTAGAACAATATCTAAAAAATAAATTATACAAAACAAAATTCTAAAAATTTCAAATTAATTAAATTCATAAACTCTAATATAATTTTTTTTTCAATTAATTGCTTAGTTTATTCTATTGGTCTAATTTTTAATATTACGTTTAGATTTTAATTTAAGTCAAAATTAATAATTAATTTTAATCACATATTTCATGAATTCATAATTTCTCAATCACACATTTTATCAATTTTTGTTAAAAATATTAAAAATTTGATTTTAATCTTTAAGTCGCCTACTTTATTGAAGCCCATCTAAGCAAAAGATTAGTATGGGAAAAATCGTGTAAAGCCCCACAAAAGGACTGTTTAAGTCTTATTCATGGAGCAAGGGGGGTACAACGGAAACAGTGGAAGATGACTAGTTGACCCGACCATTTTTACACAATAGCCTTTGACCGCGTAAAAAAAAAAAAAAAGAAGCAAAAACTAATATAAACTTAAAAGGTAAACATTTTACCATTTTTACCCTCACACGTGAACTTGGAAGTGAGCGAGGAGAGAAAAAATTCATTCATCGACGACGATGAGGTTACCGACGACCCAGACCAGAGATCGCCAATTCTCTTGAAGAAGTGAGTTTTGGGAACCATTATAAATTTACAAAGCATGGTTGAAATCATTGAATAAATAAAGCATGTTTTCGAATTTTTGTTGATTATTATCGAAGAAATTGTTGTAGAATCAATTATTATTGGATGAATTTTG